GCTGAAGAAATCTCCAGGAGGAGAATGAGGCTTGCAGCAATATGTATAACAGAGAGCTTAATCGATTTTTTCCACAGTACAAAAAGGGAGAGAGTTGAGGGAAGACAGAGAGATCACAGTGGAAATGGGAGGTGGGAGGAAAAAAATCCCTTTCTAATAAACTTGTTATTTTTGTTCTCCAAATACATCTTTTCAGGAGATGCTTTGATGCTCATATGAATCCACTTAATGGACCAGAGTAGGGTAGAGTTGCTGGGGGAGGGATGTGTGAAGTAAGAAGGATAGTTTTGCAAGGAGGGTGAAAGTGGAGTGATTTCTGTAGATTCCAACACAGGAAAGATTTTGGAATTAGTGAAACACAGTGGAATGCAAGAGATACGTGGAAGACAGATGCATACCTTCTGTACTGCTCGTTGGAGATGCTTAGCTCAGCACATGTTCTTGGTTTTTATTTCTAAACAAAACTGAAAAATTATCTTCAACCTTTCCTTCTTTTCTATTCTCTTCTTAACTCCTTGGACTTACTAGAAATTAAAGGGCTGCAGGATTGAATGGGGAGCTAGGAAGACAAGCAGTATTTGTGCCAAGCAAATATAGCAATTGCAGATCAACAGCTGATCTGGTCCCTGCTTCTCGTGCCCTGATGACTTTCTTCAGCTTTTCACATCTGGTAAACAAGACTGGGATCTGATCCACAGAGTTTGACGGCTGTGGTCTTACTTAAATATCACTTTGTACCTAGTCTAATGTTTTCTTTGAGAAATAATGACAGATATGAGTTACCAGCCTCTGAGCAAGACCCACCTTGTCAACTTAAGTCCTTTAAGAACTGTAGGTTCAGGAATCTTCCTTCTGTTGAGATCTTGACAGTGTTTATCCATTACTATTTACTGAAGATAGCCTTCTCGCCAGGGCACAGTTTTGAGCAACACCTGGTACTGCAAACAGCTCCTCCCTATTTAACCCCACACCCTATCTCTTTCTGCTGGTGAGTTATACTTCCCCCAAGAAGGTACGAGTGGTACAGAAATGGAGCGAAGCTATCCGATTCCTTTTGAGAGGCATTTCGTTCACACCAGCTGATGTGGGGAGTATTTTTGGCAATAGTATCTCCTGCCCTCCAGCTGTGCAAAGCCTGATGACGTGAGTTACCATAACTCATTAGGGAGGTCTAATTGTCAGGGACAGTGATGCCCATTTGTAACTTCTTGACTTTTCTTGCTTCCAGTGCTTGGGTTGTGGTTGAGAATGTTGCAGAGGGACTTGAGCTGCTGCTGCTGTCATCAAAGGAGCTGAGACTACCTCTGTCCCTCACAACGCCAAGGTGAAAGTCCCCTCTCTGGCTGGACTTCAAGTGGTTCTTGTGTGACTACTCTTTCAGGTGCTATGCACAGTGATAGGATGCAGGTCTAGATCCAAATGGGGAAAAACCTTGTTCATGGGAAGTCTGACCTGGCAGGGAACAGCCCTCTGTAGTCCTCCGAGCCAAAGAAAAACAGCCCATGGAGTGCCATGCAAACCCACTGACTGGGCTGTGGGGTCCATGGCAGCCTGCTGGATGCTCCATCCCCAGGCAGTTGTGGTTGGGATGGGGTGTGGGAGTCTTTGGGCAGTGAGTTTGGGAACTTTGTTCTTTGAGGTGAAACATGACCCACCTCATTGTGAAAGGTCTTTTGTACTTCCTCAGCTGGGCAGGCAAGCCCTTCAACTGCTGCCATACTGAAACTTCTTCACATGTCCAGTATCAACCTTCTCTTCTCCACTCTAGAAAGAGGTACTCTCAGCAAAGACCAGAGAGATGCCAGTGCTGCCTCACCAGGACAGCTTTGCACCATGCCAGCAGTAAGTTTAGAAATATGAGGGAAGGAGGAGTGAGTTGCCTCTATTCCAGTGTAAACGTGTGCAGTAATCTTCCATAATTGCAGGTAATCATTGTGGTTTTAAACTGTGCTTTTGAGACAGATTTATTTATCTGTTTGCAGTTTACACTGTGCTAGTTTCTTATGGCCAGTGGGTGGGCACAAGGAAGGAAGGTGCCTGTGTGGCTTGACGTGGCTGCTGTGGTCCAGGCCAGGTCTGTTTGAAGGAGAGACTGAATCTGTTTCACCAAAAGCATACTGCAAGGGAGGAGTGAAGAGTTGTGCATGGAGCAGAGAGTAGCATGCAGAGCGGGCTGTGAGAGTACAGTGGAGTGAGGAAGGTTTGCTTTGTTTTCATGTCTCACCCAGCAGGCTGGTATTTTCTCCACAAAAGCTGGTCAGAATCAAACAGTAAAAATTGCAAAACTTCTTTAATGTGCTTACTGTATATTGAGGCAGAGCTGCCTGACCAGCTCAGAAAACCATCACAGGTCTTATTCCTGCTCTGTGGACACAGACCATCTGGTCATCGTTCAGAGGTTGCAGAGCCTAGAAAAGGCTGTATTGGTTTAATGGTAAATTTTCCAAGCAGATGCTACTTTGATAGTCAAATAACTTACAAAATAAGCCATTCCCATGGAAGTGCTTTTGGCTGGACTGATTGTACATACAAGATTTTCCTGGCGTGACCAGGCAGTCCTGGCTGTAGAAACCCCACTTTTTCAGCGTGGATTTGGCTTGTCTGTCAGTGAATCTCATCTGGTCATTAACATCCATTAGGTCTTCTCTGTGTGGGAAGTGAAGCCAAACACATGGAAAGTGATGGCTTTGGAGTGCAATAAACCCCAGTCTGCATGCAAACTTTTGTTCAGACACAGAGTGATTTCAATTTGATTTTGTTTGATTTACTTCCAAATTAAGCAGAGGTCCTTTCAAGATGGCCACTGGTTAGTTTGTTGTAACTTAGTGTCTACATGCAGGTATTATTTTGATCAGGTGCAGTTTGTACCAACAGAATGAATTCTTGCCCTTTTTAAAAACATGAGATGGGAATGGATGTTGTTATTGATGAACACCCTTCCAGAGCTATATTCGGTTAAACACATAGTGGTTTGGATCCAGATAGGCAACTCTAGAAGCAGTGGGGACAACATGATTTCAAGTTTGGTGGGACCTGCACCTTTCTGTAGGAGGTTGATTTTTGTGCTGGAGGGAGGTCAAACTGCGCATGTTCATTCCCACATATGCCCTGTCCTATAATCCCAAGATTTGGTTCACATGATCTCAGTACATTAAGAGTGAGTTTACTCATGTGTGAGTTTTGTGGTGTTGGTGAATATCTTTTGACGCTGTTGGAGGCAAGTATGCAGGAGGAGTTAATTACACAGAGCCTTCATAAGGCTCCAGAGAGTCACCAGAGCTTGGAAATTAACGCTCCCAAGAGTAAATGTTGAGATGTGTTTCAAGACCTCAGCAATACCTCTCAGCTTACTTCCTTTAGAAATCATTTAAAAAAAAAATAAGCCAGTAGGTAGTAGGAAGGCTTGTTACATTTGTCTAGTCTTGGTGAGCAAACCAGCGGTAGCTTGAGTAAGCACTGTGTTCAGGAGAGGTGGCAGCGTTTTACTTGCCACGTGCTGATGGAGAACTGCAGTCTGCACAGGCAAATAACTAGCTCTGTGCCCCACCAGAGTTCCCACTGGCATCCCATGCTCAGTCTGGGGAGTTTCAGCCCCAAGTTCTTCCTTGGCTCTCTGCCTTTTTGGGGCTTGATGGCTGCCTGCTGCAGCAACTGGAGCAGCAAGGAAGTACAAGAGGTTCTGCATTGTCTGTTTGGCTCCTGTCAAGTGTTGCTCCAAACTGCTCTCTTGTGTCTTTTAAGTGGCGGGTCAATCAGCTCTCTCTGGGTCAGGCCCTGAGGCAGCTGCTCTGGGAAAGCCATGCTGTGTTAGAGGTGGTGGGGCAGCAACACGTGGAGGAGACCTGCTGATCATCTCCCTTTCCGGTCAAGGGTGAGGCTCCCTGGGGGTAGGAGCTGTGGCAGCTGCTGGTTTAGCTTGAGGTGAAGGGAATGGGAGTGCTAGCATTCCCAGGTGAATGCTGAGAAGGAGGAGGGAGCACAGGCAGCAGCAGCCCCCATGCCTGCAGTCAGCTGGGGGAGAGTGCTGGGCCACTGTGGGGCTGCTGCCCTCAGACTTTGCCTGTGGGGAGGATGGCCATCTGCGTCCCCCAGCAGCCACCGTCCTTCCTTTCTGGAGAACAGGAGGCTGAGGGGAGACCTTATCGCTCTCTACAACTACCTGAAAGGAGGGTGTAGAGAGGTCAGTGTCTGTCTCTTCTCCCAGGTAACAAGTGATAGAATGAGAGGAAATGGCCTCAAGTTGCACCAGGGGAGGTTTAGGTTGGATATTAGGAAAAACTTCTTCACCGAAAGGGTAGTCAGGCA